AGGCCGAAAAACAGGCCTGTTTTCTGATATTTCCGGAAGGCCTGTTTTTTCGGCCTCCCGAGGCTACAGAACTTTCCCTCGAGCCCTGGAAGGCCGAAGTTTGGCTGGGGCTCGTGTGCCCACACAAATGGCTCCGCGTGCCACCGGTTCGCCATCACGGTCTTAAGGCCACCAAACTCCAAGAAGACGGGCTTCTTGTTTGCAATTCAGTCAATACACATAGAAACACATTAAAAACCACATAGTTGGTTTTTAAGACTAAAACAGCATGCCCAATGTGCAAAACCTGAGCAGGGGCTCCTTGGCCAGCTTGCCACAGCCAACTTGCCACGGGACGATTCACCGCAGCCAGTTCTCCGTGGGAAAAATTCCCCACAGGACAATTCTAACTTTTATTTCGTGGCAAGCCGGCCAATATTTGCCATTCACGTTTCATCCCGTCCCTCCTTTTGCACCCTTACAATCAATTCTTCTATGCCACCGTTTCTTCGATATTCAATATTTTGTCCTGCAGCGAGTTGGCAGTGGCGAATTGGCCGCCAACGAGTTGTCACAGACCCTCCGTAGCGTGTTGTCAAAACGATGTGGCTTTGTGAAACGGCGCTGTCGTTTTTCTGATCCCTCCCTCTCTCCCTTTCTCGTTTCTTAGAGCGACGTGCAGCTGATCAAAACTGGAGACAAAGTGGGCGCCAGCGAAGCCACCCTGCTGAACATGTTGAACATCTCTCCCTTCTCCTTCGGGCTCATCATCCAGCAAGTCTTTGATAATGGCAGCATTTACAACCCGGAAGTCCTGGATATCACTGAGGAAACTTTGCACAAGCGCTTTCTAGAAGTAAGCAAGGCTTACTTACTTCAGTCACGTGCCCTGTCTCTGTCAGGGCCCTTTTGAGGGCTCAGGACAAAGAAGCTGAGGAGAGAACAGGGTGGTGGGGGAGAACTTTAGGGGCAGATTTATCTGTTGATTAAATCTTGTTCCTGATTAATTTAATTTGCAAATGCCTTCAGTTTCCAAGATGATAGGGTGAGCAATATCTAAGCGAGGGGGCCCCTCCAACCTTGGGTCCCCAGTTCATTCTCAAAACATCCTGCAGAAAAGAACATTGGTCGCTCAGGATTGAACTGTGGGCTCTCTGAGGTTGGTGGTTTCCTTACCAAGCTAGGTAACATCATCAGGGCTACTACTACTGATGCGGTTACCTAGTTTGGTAAAGAAGCGTCTGCAAGAAAACCACCCAGTTCAGAGAGCAGCAACAACCCCATAAAATTTCCTAGCTGGCATAACCATTATGGAGACTTTCCATATTTGAAGGGGATCCATTTTGGGGAAGAACAGCTGAATAAGGGATCAATGAGGTACTTTTTTTTAAAAAAATGTGAGATTCCCCCAGTGCTAGATTACTGCAGTCTTTCATCTGTAGTCACCCTGAAACTTAAATTTAAAAACTGCCTAGCAACATCTACAGATAATCTACAGCAACAGATAATAACTTCGACCGTCTCCCCCTCCTTCCAATTTCCTTAACCCAGGAACTAATAGGAGTGACAGAAAGAGGGCTAGAAAAGGTATTGTCCCCAATTGGGGACAATTAGGGAATAATTTTTTAGTTTAGTTTACTTTATAGTCATTGCACCTCGTACAACGAAATTAAATACCATCTTCAGTGTACATTATGATTATGAAAATAAACACAAACACCCATCCCTCACATTCTATACAATTGAATTGAAAACCCCGTGATATTGCATTAATATTGCTTTATACAGTAGAATCCCATAGAGTTCCTGCCCTGGGATAGAAGCTGTTTTTCAGCTTATTTGTCCTTGTTTTTATTATTATCCTGAACCGTCTGTCAGATGGTAATAGTTAAAAAAAAGGGGGGGTGCCCAGGATGAGATGGATCTTTGAAGATGTTTTGAACTTTCTTAAGGCAGTGGGAGCTCTAAAGCTCTTCCAAAGAGGGGAGAGGGCAACCCATAATCCTCTGGGCAATGACGTTCACCCTCTGGAGCGCTGTCCAGAGGCAATTTGCCCCTGTGCAATTTGCAAACTAGACACAGGTGCATCGATGAATTTTCAATAACCCAGGTCTTAAGACTGCTTCCCCCCTCCCCCCAATTGTCCCAACAGATTAAAAAAGTTGGGACTTTTTATGTGACACCAAGGTGAATCCTAGCAGCCTTTCCTTTCAGCGGCTTCTTGAATAATGTGGAGGTTAGGGGAGCAGACCGAAAGCTGCGGAACCCTGTCCTGTGAATGGGATTTCCAACCTGTATCTTTTGTCCCTTGCAGGGCGTCCGTAACGTAGCCAGCGTTTGCCTGCAGATCGGCTACCCTACTGTGGCCTCCCTGCCTCATTCCATCATCAACGGGTACAAGCGAGTCCTGGCTGTGGCCGTGGAGACAAACTACTCTTTCCCATTAGCTGAAAAGGTAAGTTGTTCAAGGCCTGCCAGAGAAAAAAATCTGTGAGATGCAGGTGGCATGCGGAACCGTGCCCTCTCCTCCAGTCCACGGAACTGGGCCCAAAAGGTGGGGGGCTGCTGGTTTAAGGGGTCCTGACTTCAGCATTTATAGAAGGATTGGAGTCTTCTTGCTGGCAGTTCTGAGTTTTTAGGACCTCAAATCCACGAGGCTCTTGTCCCTGGACAAGATTTGTACACACCCCGTTGAAAACCAAGCCCACATAACTCCCCAAGTGCAGTGAGAACCTTGAGGAATTAAGCCTGCCTCTCAACGAAATCGATTTGGGTTATCCTTTGCAGATAAATGTAGTTTGGGCAAATAAGGTTCACTGTGCTCTTTAGGGTAACTGCTGCGAGAATGACACACAAACTGTTGTAAGTTTTAAGAACTTAAAAGTCTGAGGCTAGTTTCCAGTCTTCTGTTGCCTTTATTCCTTTGGGCTCAGCTCCATGTCCTTTGAACATTCTGTGGAAAGTCTGGGAAAGCAGGAACGGGATGTTTTGGCACTTGAAACACGACTGAATTTTTTTCCCCCTCTGCAGGTGAAGGCCTTCCTGGCTGATCCATCAGCTTTTGCCGTTGCTGCTCCGGCAGTGACCGAAGTAGCCGCTCCTGCTGCAGCAGCTCCGGCCAAAGAAGAAGTCAAGGAAGAATCCGAAGAGTCTGATGAAGACATGGGCTTTGGGCTTTTTGACTAACCACCTGTCCTAGGCTGAGTAGAGTGAAATTCAAAAGAAAGAAATAAAAAGTGTACTTCTTTACCACATCCTTTGGAAGTGGCCGGTTGAATTGTCCGAATTATTTCTGCCTGACAACCTGTGGTACTATTTGTGTCATTCTGGAGTAGAGTAGTCATTCTGCTTCATTACATAGGTAAAATTGTTAGCCTTAATTCCAGGTTCGGAAATGGTACAACTTCTTTAAATTATGGCAACCAGAAACTTTTTTAAAAAAAAATTTTTTTTTTTAGAATCATTTCACTTTAAACCTCCGTTCCTGGAGCAATGGGAATAATCCTTTGCAACATTTGCATGATGATATTAGTCAAAAGTTAACTGAGGCACACTTGCATTAAGCATTTTTATTAAATTTATTGGGCACCCATCTCGTTGCAAGGCATTGAACGGTAAATAAAGCCCATGAGCTGGGCTTCTGCAGGATGCAAAGATAAAGTTGATAATTTTGCGTGTCATGTGAACATGACTTAAAGCTACGTCTCTTGAAATAACAATTGCAGCTGCCCCTCAACTCTGCTAAACCTTGTATTTCATGCATTTTTAGCCAAACAATAGAACTGAAAAACTTTGATTTCCTGTTGGTTTGGCCAAATCAAATTACAGAATGCAAGTTTGAGTTGACAGTTGGTAAAGACTTTGGGGCATAATTTGCACACAGCCTCCCCCCCTCCCTTAAGACATCTGGAAATTCCTAATAATTGAATTGTTGAACCAGATCGAGTATTTATCCAAGTTTGAAAGTTTAGAAATAAAACTCGATCAGAGCCATTGAATTGATCATAAATGGAACAAATTACAGTCCATTGGCATTCCTTAAAAAAAGCATGTTTGTAGATGGAAAGTTACGTTTTTGATTAGAACTTCGGTCTCCGAAGTTGCAACTTCTATTCAGGCAATGTCTTGCTACTCAAATTCATTTCTGATCTCATCCAAGGATTGACCTCTTAGGTGTACAGATTGTGGAGTTGCCCCATCTCTGGGCTAATGTACTGTACTTGTATAGCTACAATTAATTCAGTGAAATATCAGAACAACTGCTGAATGGTGCAAAGGGTTGAAAACTTCTGAACAAGGGACAGATCATTTTATGGTGTCCAGAGTGGATCTTGAAACACCAAAGATGAATACTAAAAGGCAATAATTTTTAAGTTTGATATGAACTCAGATGAATGGAAAGTGATGTCCTTGAAAGAATATCCAGCAAGTTTATGGAGATTCTCAGCCACCCAAGTCATGGTTGTCCCAAAGGTGCTTTTCCTTTCAAGAGGCAACTGGACTTTCTGGTTTTTTTTTCTTTGAAGAGGTTTCGCTTCTCATTCAAGGAGCTTCTTCAGCTCTGAAGAAGAACTGAACTTAGAACTGAAGAAGCTTCTTGGATGAGAAGCGAAACCTTCAAAGAAAAAAAAATCCCCCAGAAAGTCCAGTTGCCTCTTGAAAGAATAAGAACCTTTGGGATATCCTAAAACATGTATTTTAAAATATTTAAATTATTTTGAAGCCAAACTCATGGGAGAAATGGGCGCCATGATTAGGGAAAATTCATTGCGGCTCATTAATGAGGGAAATATAATAGAAATAAGGGAAAGGAAAGAAAATGGACAGAACTTTGCCCTTTTTGCGAGTCAAAATAATTCCCATCAGAAGCGTGTTCCTCCCAAAGCGTCTTCCTCTCAATGCGCAGGCGCGGGTGGGCGTCCGCGTGTCAAAGTATGGAAGGTTTTTTTTCTCTACCCCCGTGCGCGTTTCGTGACGCCATCATCCTGCGCCGGAAGTGAAGCGGAACAGTTTCCGGGCGGAGCCGGTGCGATGGCGGCTGACACGCAGGTGGGTGCTACCGAAAGGCCGGAGCGCTACGAAAGTAAAAGAGAAGCCGGACAAGGCGGGCCCGAGAAGCCGCCCTCCGCCCGGCTCGGCTCTGTTCCTCGGGCGAGAAGCCGCGTCTCCTCCGTCGGCCTTGCTTGGGCCGGTTGTAGGAGGTTCCGCGCGGGTTGCGGAGGGGCTCAAGGAGCCTCTTTCTCACGGATCCAAGCTCTTTCATGACGCCCTCCGGAACCCGGGGACCCATGGTTCTCAGCACGGGCGGCGGGTAGCTATAGGGTTGATGGGTTTTGTAGTCAACAAGTCTGGGCAGGGGCAGGGTTTCCCCCCCCCCCCCCAGGATTTTCAGGCTGTGAAATGGTTGGGTGGAAAAGCAGGACAGGTAGTCCTCGACTTACGACTAGCGGAGCTCCAAAATGCACGTCGCTAAGCGAGAAACGTGCTCAGAACTTTGTTTGGCTGGGCGACGGGTGGGCCAAGAAGCCCACCCAGCCCCGGCTCTCCTCGGTCGAGAAGGCGCATCTCTTCACCCTCGCTTTTCCGACTTTTCTCCCCACATTTGTTAAGAGAATTCCCCGCCGTCGTTAAGTCAGTAACACGGTTTGTTGGCTGAATCTGATAGGACTTTAGGTTCATCAGAAGGTGGCCACAGGACCTGGGGACTTTGCAACCAGTCATAAATAGGACCCAATTGTCAAACATTCACATGACCACGGGGGATGCTGCAATGGTCATAAGGGTGAAAAACAGTCATAAATCACTTTTCTCAGTGCCGTTGTAACTTTGAACGGTCACTAAATGAACTGTTGTAAGTCGAGGACTACCTGTTTTTCCCTTTTTTGAATTTCTTGCCCTTCCTTGAAGCTGTGGTTGTCTTTGTGGCTTCAAGTAGATTGAAAATCTATCTTTCAATTCACAAACACAAACAATTTTTTTAAAGGAGTGCCAATCTGCTGTAATTTTTTCATTTATGATCATGTCGATGGCTCTGATGAGTTTATTTCTAAACTTGGATAAATAAATATTTGATCTGGTCCAACAGTTCAATTATTAGGAATTTCCAGATGTCTTAAGGGTGGGAAACGGTTGTGTGCAAATATGCCCCAAAGTCTTTACCGACTGTCAACTCAATCTTGCATTCTGTAATTTGATTTGGCCAAACTCATGAGAAATCAAAGTTTCTCACAGTTGTATTATTTAGCTAAAAAGCATGAAATACAAGATTCAGTAGAGTTGAGGGACAGTTGCAATTATATTTCATAGCTTTGGGCTTTCTTTTCATATTTATTTTAAAAGGATCACCTGAGTAGGGTAAATGAGTATGGAGCCTTCTTGGAACTGCTGAAAGGATTGTGTTGTGGAGCTGTGCTTTTTGCCCTGTGTCTCTTCACTGTTGAACACAAGCATTTTTCAATGATCTTTTCTGGATTATTCTGGATCATTTTGATTATTTTTTGCATCTCCAAAAGTGACCTCACCGGAACTATCTTCTCTTCCCCTACCCCAAATCTCTAACGTCTGTTTAGGTTTCGGAAACACTGAAGAGATTTGCCGTGAAAGTGACTACATCCAGTGTGAAGGAACGCAGAGAAATCCTCAGTGAACTTGGAAGATGCATTACTGGGAAAGGTAGTATATACACCATGTCAAAATATGGATAGTCCTTGACTTATGACCACAATTGAATCCCACATTTCCGCTGCTAAGCAAGACAGTTGTGAAGCGAGCCTTGCCCTGTTCTACAACCTTTTTTGCCACAGTTGTTAAGTGAATCACTGGAGCTGTCAATAACAAAGTTGTTAAGCAGGATGTGATGACCCGGAGTGTAACACAAATGTAACAAAATCCAAAACGTAAATAAATGTCCTTTAATGCCTCCAACTTGGCCCCACTATTCAATAATTCTCAGTTGGAGATAAAACGTACTCAAAAATAGTCTTCAAAAGAAAGCAATATCGTCCGAACTTAATGAGCAGATAGAAATAAAAAAACAAAACAAAACTACAATGGCGAAATTTCCACACTCCACTCCCTGTGGGATGTTCCTTCTCTCCCTCAGAGTCCGACTCTACCAAGGGCATGACACGGGATTTGAAATGAATATGTTTGTGCAAAAGGTCACAAAAGTGGATGACTCTCGGGACATTGCAACTATGATAAATCCAGGCCAACTGCCAAGCATTCAAATTTTGATCACATGACCACTTAGTTGCTTCAAAGGCCATACATGTGAAAAATGATCATAAATGATTTTCCAGTGCCATTTTAACCTTGGTTACTAAACCAAAGTTGTAAATTGAGGCCTACTTCTAACACTCAATAGGAAAGAGTCTAAAAAGTTTAATCAAATCTCAGTAGAAGCTCTGGACGTGAGGGTGGGTGTTTTCATCAGAATTGCAATGTGTGAAAGCAGCTTCTCTGTCTCTGGACCAATGACCTTAGTCCCCTTCAAAATCTAATTGCCGGTTGGTTGATCATCATCATTTTAGCCACTGTCTACCCACTGCAGAATGAAGGCCTCTTCCACATGTTTCCAACCCAGATGGTCCTTAGCTTTTCATTGCCAATTGGACCTCCCAGTACTTGTTGATGCTGTCAATCCGTCTTGTTTTGGGTGTCTTTGGTGGTTGCTTTTTGATATTTTTTTAATCAGCGTTGGTTGACGTTTGTGGGGGGGAAATAGACACCACATAGGGCATTAAAACATTGGTTTTTATTTTATTTTAAGCATTGCTTTTCATTGAAGTGCCTGTTGAATTTGGTTTGGTCTTTTGTAGATTTTCCAGAAGGCGCAGTGAAGGGTCTGTGTAAACTTTTCTGCCTCACTCTGCATCGATACAGGTAATTATGTCAAACTGGACTTTGCTCTCTAGTTCAGATAACATTTATTTGTTCTGGCGCAATATATGGAAGCAGATTTAATGCCTTAATGATAAGACTTCTCTCTCATTTAAAATTGTCTGCTTTTTCTTTTAAGCACTGTTCCGATTGGCCATCAGTGTTTTTTTTGTGAGATGTAATTTGTGTTTTATTGTATAGTATTGTAATGTAGGGTGCTTAACCAATTGTATAAATGAACAAAGAAATGTATATAACTTTATGAATTTTTCCCCCAAACGATTCTTTTAGTTATCCCTTTCAAAAAATAATTATGGGCTTAGATAATGGTTTCACCAGACTGCTTGGAGAAATACGCAGTAAATGAGATAGTTTGGGGAAAGAATTTCTTCTCTCTTTAAAATGTCTGCTGCAAAATTGTTTTATAAGGACAGAAGAGAAAGCAAAGCAGATTCCTGTAAATAAATAAGTTTTCAGTTCTCTTTAGCAAAGGTTACCTTCAACCTTTGCTAAAGAATAAATCTTTGCTATTGAAATAAACAGGCAGATTATTAGGAAAGCTTGATTGAGGACAGGATATCTCTAAAGCAATTTTTTCAGCTCATGATCTCTCCCCTTCCTGTCTCTTCATTGCGATATTTTTGCTAGAGATGCCGCGTCACACAGAGCCCTTCAAACAGCTCTTCGTCAGCTCGCCGAATGCCAGCCTGAAGTGACTGCCAAGAACCTTTTGTACTCCCTGCAATCTTCAGGAATCAGCAGCAAGACTGGGGGATCCAGGTGAGGAGATCTGGGTGTTGTGCAAAGACCTCTTTAGCAACAGAACTGAAGAATATAACTCCGCCCTGGCAACAGGAAGGGCATCCAGCCAGTAAATACTCAGCTCCACTCAGTTGCCCAGACTCCACCCCGCAAGGGATTATGGAGTCGTTAAAAGATGATCAGATGATCTTTGATGTCTTGAACTATTTGTCCCTGGCCATCATACCACATGGTTGAGGAAGTTGTACCCAATTGTAGCAACGGGCCATGAAATGAATTCCCATGAATCAGTGGTACATTAGAAGTGTGCGCCTTGGTTCAGCTGTAATCCTTCGGCTTGCTCTGTAACGTTTGACTGACTTTCCCGTCTGCACCAGCGATGGGAATCCCATGATGCTGCCAAAACTCCCTTGTTTTTTTCCTTTCTGTCTCAGCAAGAGCAGTGGATCTGCAGCTTCGCTGGCTCTCTCGTGGACCTGCCTGCTCGTTCGCATTGTCTTCCCGACACACGACAAGAGGCATGGAGAAACGTGGGAGAAACTGGTAGGAAGCCTTGATCCGCCTTGTGACCTTTTACCCTTAACCGTGGTTGGATGACAGGTAGTCCTTCGTGGTCCTTTAGGACCACAATTTGAGCCCCCAAGCTTCAGTTGCGAAGCGAGTTTTGCCCCGTTTTATGATCTTTCTTGCCACAATTGTTAAGTGAATCACTGCGGTTGTGAAGTTAGGGTTACAGAATTGAATTGGCATCCTTCCGTCTCAAGAGACGATGCTTTGGTGCTATGAAACCGGTAACTGCCACTTCCCGTTTTGTTTCCATGCTGTATGCAAAGCTGGAGTGTCCTTTCCAGAACACGAGGCCTGGATAATTTAATATGGAGGATAAACTCTAAATAAAATAGATAGATAGATGATAGATAGATAGATAGATAGATAGATAGATAGATAGATAGATAGATAGATAGACAGACAGACGATAGATGGATGGATGATAGATAGATAGACAGACAGACAGACAGATGAT